GCCGCCATGGCCCGGTTTGACTCGCTCCAGCCTGGCTGGCTGCCTGGCTGGCTCCTCTAACTCCTCTCAATTACGGGTAACAAGCCTTTTGTCAGTTGATTGAAAAGCGCTCGCCGTTCCCTGGGCAAGGCTGGCCCACTGTGCCGGGCCGCGCCATGGGCTGCGTTCTGAGCGGCGCGCCATAGATGGCAGGACCGGTCCCCGCCCTGCCCGCCGCCCCGCCGCGAGTGCGACAAGGATGGACGATGCACGGCCGGTGGGTGCCCGGGAGTTCGGCTACGCGCACAGAGCCGCGGCACTGCCACGCCACTGCCACGCTGCAACCGCGTGCAGGCGCGCCAAACACACTTACCGAACGGCGGAACCCCACAGGTGCGGGGCGGTCGAAGCACAGTGTCGAAAATCAGAAAACGAAGTGTCGACTTGGCGCAATGGAATGGCCCAGAAGCCCCTGCTGTGCTAGGCAGTCCCGTCGCACGCAGGCGTCGTGCGGTTGGCCTACCCTCGCGCCGTGAGGGGCCGAGGCAAGGCAGTCCGCATGCAGTCGCCGACGCCGGGCCTGCATAACCACGCGGGCGGAGGCTGGGCGGCCTCTCGTTAACCAGAGTTATGCGACGCCTAATTCAATTCCCAAATTTCATTTACGAATTTTGCCAGCCCTTCAACTTTTGGGGGGTTTGGTGCGGGTGTAGGGCCGGGCAGCCTAAAGCGCGTTCAAAGCGTTGGAGCCGGCGGTGCAGGTGGCCCGACTGGCCCTGCAGGCCCTACAGGCCCCGGCTGCCCTTTTGGCTGTAGGGGGGCAAGCGTCAATGGCACTGGGGATGTGGCATATAGAGGCCATCCTACGGGAACTGCCGCTCCATTCGGGGAAGGTCAGGGAACACACACACACACACACACACACACACACACACACTGACAGGGGCGGTCAAAATGTCAGCTGGCCGTGGCGTCGCGGCGTCCATGCTCGAGATTGGCACGGCCTGTCGTCGCTCTGTCTCTCTCGCACTCGTGGGGCGTCCCGTGGGGGTGCGAGAGAGCCAGAGCGAGGCTGCTCCCCGTTTGGGCGGTACAGTGTAATGGCAGCGCGCCTCAATCGTCGCTTTCTCGGCAGCGCGCTGCACTGGCGTGCCACTGCACTGGTATAAGGCCCGGCGACGTAATTAACCGACTCGGTCGCGTCGCTCTGTCTCTCTCGCACCCCCAGGGGCGTGCGGGGCGCCCCGTGAGTGCGAGAGAGACGGCGGCCCTAATGAGGGGCCGCGCCGCTCACCGCTCCTTTTCCGAAAAGCGCGGGCCTTTTTAAACGCCCCTCCCAAATTGAATAACAGGGTAGTTTGCGGTGAGGGGTGGCGGCGGGGCGGGGCGGCCCCCGTCTGGAGCGAGCGCTCCCCTTTAAGACTGGAGGCAGGCTCACGGGGTAAGCGGGGGACGGGGTCAGGGGGTTGTTTCCAGGGGGCTCGCCTCTCTCTCTCTCCCTCCCTCTCCCTCTCGCGCTTTCTTTCAAGCCGAAAACAATCGTGTGGCCGTGGGCAGCGCGACGAAACCGGAAGCAAATTGGCCTTCCCGTGTGTCCGTCGCCTTTTTCGGGGCGTGCCGCGGCGCCCCTTGCGGCCGCGAATTTCAATCTGGCGCCCGCAAATGGTCTTTTGTTGGCCGCCCCGCTAATTTTAACTCGATTCTTTGCCGCTAATGTAATCTAGCTCCGCGAGGCCCACAACGCGTGCGGCGTGTCGCGACCATCTCTGTGTGTGTGTGTGTGTGTGTGTGTGTGTGTGTGTGTGTGTGTGTGTGTGCGAGTGTGGGTCCCAACCCCATCACACCGCAATCAGCACGGCGTGGCGTTGGCGGCGCCTCTGGTAGCGCGTCCGCCTGCGTCCACGCTACGCCACCTACGGCTAGCTCCCGCAAAACGTCACGAAAAAAAAAAAGATGTTGACAAAAAGTTGCGGCGGGTGTACAGCAGTATTCGAACCCGGGCCCCGCGCTCCTTGGACCGTTTTCGCCTTCGCCCCCTGGAAGCCTGGATGCTGTGAAAGCTGGTGTTGGCGATTTCTCAGGCCGGGCCCTGCCGCCGCCGCCGCCACTGCCCCGCGCGCCGGGCCCCGCCACCGTAGCGAGTAGCACTTACGTTTCGCGCGCTTTCAAAAATAAACTTAAGTGCTTTCCATTACATAGAGTGGCTGTCGGACGGGGCGGCGCGACGCCGGGGGCGGGGCGGGGCGGGGCGGGGCGGGGCGGCCGGGCGGGTGGGTCTGACGCGCAGGGGGTGGTTTGGGGGTGGCAAGACAGAAATGGGGTTGCGAGACGGAGATGGGTGGAGGCAGCGCCGTGGAGAGCGAGAGAGACAGACGGCAAACAGATGTCGCCGATAGACTGCGACTGCTCCAGTGGCACGGCGAGCTTCTATTCTACGCTCCTGCATCGCCAGGTTGCGAGTCGGGGGTTTTGCGCGTCATTTCTGCAGCCCATATTTTCGCCCCCCAACAACAACCCCATCGCTCCCTCTCCCTCCAATCTCAGCGCGGGGGTGGGAGTCTCCCCCGCACTCTCTCTCTCTCCCACCCACCCCCTCCCTCCCCGAGGGCTCGGCGCAGCACTCACATTAGGCTGGCCTGGACCGGACTCCATTAGACAACCATTGGATTTCGCCATCTACTCCTTAATGGAATCCCCCAAGGCTGCGTGCGAGGCGACGGGGCTGCCTGGCTGCCTGACTGGCTGCCTGGCTGCCCGCCTGGCCTCGGACACGCCGGGGACCCGCCCCGGACGCAGCCCGGCAGCCCGCGCGAATCCCAGCCGTAATCATTGCAAGACAATCCGGCCAACACAAGAGTGATCATCCCTCTGTCATGCAGCGCGGGGCGGGGCGGGGCGGGGCGGGGCGGGGCGGGGCGCGCCAAAAAGCGAGACTTGCGCGCCACGCACGTTCGCACGAGTGACGGGGCCGGGCGTGGCCGCAGACTCGTATATTTCCCGGGAAACACTGCAGTCTGTAGCTTCCGCCACTTCGGGTCCCGACGGGGACGAGGCTGAAAAGCGGAAAATCGACCCCGCCTACGACTACCAGTGGAGTGAGCGGGCGACCCCGACCCGATCCACGGAAAGTGGCATCGTCGCTTTTTCGCGTTCGTCACTGACCCCGCCACCCTCGGCCCGCCTCGTCCTGGGGCCCTGGGCTCTGGGGCAGCAGCACGCCTAAACAAGGCGCCTGACTTAGTTTGGGACCTGCCTGACCCGCAACCCCTGCCTGCCTGCCTGCCCGCCTGCCCGGGGCCCGCCCGGAGGGGCTCGGAGTTTGAGAAGCCAACGGCGGGGAGGGTGCTACGCCACTGCTTCGCGGCGGGCGGCGTGCTTCGCTCGGGAACGTAATTACGATCCAGCAGCAAATTCGATCGGACAGCGGCTCATTAGAATCGTGAGGTAAATTAAAATACCTGTAACGTTTCGTTATAAGCTGCCGGCGTGCGCGTCTCCGCCCCCCACTCCCCCACCCCTTCCCCGACGCGCGTGGAGGTTCGGGACACGCTCTCCGAGGAAGGGACTCGAAAGGCGCTCGCCAGCAGACTCATTCCGAGCGTCGTCGCTCTGTCTCTCTCGCACTCACGGGGCGTCCCGCATAGGTGCGAGAGAGACAGCGACGAAAGCGACCCTCGGAATCGGTCTTGAGTTCGGCCGGCCTTGGCGGAGGGAGGCCTCCTTCGCCTCCTTCGCGCGACCCCTCGGCTCGCCCCACACTGGGCACGTCGCCCTAGAAATGCAAATCGGGAAAAATTTCTCTCTTTCTCTCTCTCTCTCTCTCTCTCTCTCGCGCTCGCTCGCTCTCTCGCTAGCGCGGGGCATTATTCATGTGTCAATGCCTGGGTCGTCTGTCGTCTGAATCTAGGAATCTGATGGCGGGTTTGCATCTCTGTGGACGTGCCGCACACCGTGTAGCACCACGCTGGCGCTCTTCTGGGTGAAGTGTGGGAGGCCTCTCTCTCGCACTCACGGGGCGCTCCATGCCGGTGCGAGAGAGACAGACCACCGCACTGCTTGGTCGCCGCGGTGAGACGATCTGGACGCCAATCAGGGCGAGCTCTAGTCGCGGGGGCGTCAATAGGCCTCGTCCTGCCTCGCCCTGCCTCGCCCTCGTCACGTCTAGTTGAACGGTGTTTACTTGTGTGTGTAATCACCCCGCCCCGCCACTCCCCGCCACGCCACGCCCCGCCACGCCACATGGATTCGCACAATCCTGCAAGGCACGGCGCGACGCGAGCCTTACAATCTCTCTGATCCTCGAGTGCATCTCACTTGTCGCTGGAGTGTGGTTCGTCACGGGGCCGTCGAGAGCGGGGCCTCCTCCCCCGCCCCGTGCGGCTCTCGTTAAGGCGTTTTAAGCCCCGTCCTACTCGACCAAGCCCGCCAAGCGTCGCATAGCGCCGCTTCATTAGAGAGAGGCGCAGTCCGAGGTTGGGGAGGGGGGGGCCACGGCGGCAGCCCTCAGGGGTGACCTCCCCTCTCCCTCCCCCTCTCCTCCATCATGTGTCAAACAGGGCGCTGATGACTTGGAAACTCGATCCTATTGTTCTCGCGCTGCGCAGGGCAGGCCAGGGCAGTGGCGCCGCCCGGCCCGGGCCCCGCCGTGCTAGACTCTCGAGTCCCGGACTCGCGTCCCAGACCCTAGTTCGGCCAGGACGCGCGGTCTAAGGCGATGAGCACGTGGCTGCCGAGCCCTCCGAGGTCGTGGGCGAGCTCGCCGAGGGCCTCAAGCACTACAGCAAGTTTGTGCGGCCGCCGGGGCCCGGAGCCCTTAGCCCTGGGCCCTTGGTCCTCGGTCCTTGTGCCGCGCCGCGCCGCGCCGGGCGCGTGAGGCTGGGGCGGACGCAGCCAGCGCCGTGCGGGCAGGCAGCCCACCGCACGCGGCACGCCGCCCGCCCGGCGAGCAGGCAACCCATCGCACGCTGCCCGCTGCACTGCAACTGACCACCCTAACCGACGCGCTTCTCTGCCTGTTCCAGGTTATTCGGCAACACGGGGGCGTGCTCGGCGTGCGGACAGACCATCCCGGCCAGCGAGTTCGTGATGCGCGTCGGCGGCGGCCCGGGCGTGGGCACGCCGTCGGCGCCCTCGCCGCTGCACGTGTTCCACCTCAAGTGCTTCTCGTGCTCCAAGTGCGGCTCGCAGCTCGTGCCCGGCGACCGCTACCACCTCCTGGGCGGCGCGCTGGTCTGCGAGCAGGACTGGCACAAGCTCATCAAGGGCGGCGGCGCGGCGGGCGTCCCCGGCGCGGCCGGCCCCGGCGCCACTCCCGGCGTGCGCAAGGGCAAGGTGGGCCGGCCGCGGCGGTCGCGCGACTGAGACGACTCGGCGCCCCCCATGCTCACCTCGGCCGGGCCGGGCCGAGGTAGGGGGCGCCGGCGCGCCGTTCCGGTGCAGGGAGTCATCGGCTTGCCGCAAGGGCTGCCATGCCCCGGCCAGCTCCACCAGCAGCAGCCTCTGTCGCCGTCGCCCGGGCCCATGCCGGGCGGCATTCCGGGCGGCATGCCCACCATGTCCATGGGCGGGCCCGGGCTGCTCATGGCTGCCCTGCCGGCGGGACACCTCGCGCCCGGCGGGCCCGGGCACCCAGGCCCCGGCCACGGCCTCCACGGCCTCCCCGCCGGCCACCCGGGCCACCCCGGCCACCCCGGCCACGCCTGCGGCCCCATCGGGCCCTGCCTCGGCGAGGACAGCAACGGGCCGCCGGGCTCCATGTCCAGCACGGGCCCCCACAGCCCCCCGCAGCTGTACCTGTCGCCGTGACGCGGTGCCGGCGGTGCGGCGTTGCTCAATTGGTACCTGGAGGGCGCGGCGCGCGCGCTGGAGACGAAGCATTCCATGAACTCGGAGCGTGCCGTCATGGCGGACGCAGTGGAACGAAAGTCGCCGAGCGGGGACGCGAACCCGCGACCGCGACCGCCGCGTCCTCAGAGACAGTGTCCGAACGAACTGCAGTCGATAAGATTATTTCATCCATGACGTCGTCATTGGCAAAATTGTGATATCCGGCGGGAAGCGCGTGTGTGTTAGTGTCACGAGGCGCGTCACGCTATGCGTGTCACGCGTGACTGTGTTTAGCTTCCCGCCGGCTGGAGGGCTCGTCACGGGCGTGGCGGGTCGAACCAGGAAGGTCTCAAAGTGTTTGTTGTTATGTGTTGCATATTGTCGAGTACATTTGCTGTTGTCTTGTTCAGTCCATCTTGTCCCCCTCCCCTCACCTACCCCTTCCCCCTCGCCCCCTTTATGTCCGTAGTGTTCAGTTCAATACCGTGAGGAGGAAACAGCTTTTCAGCCGAATCCTAAAATAATCTCAAGGGATAACTCTTTGAAAATGCCGAGGCTATATCTTATTTCCAAAATATCTCAGTAGAAATATTATTAATTATGTTTTATGTTGTTTTGGAAAAAAAAAATATTTATGAAATTGCTCTTATGTATGCAATCTGTGTCTAAAAGGTGTGTCCTCCTCTTCTATTTTATCCTCGTCATATTCCGCGCAGAATAAAATGACCATCTAGTTCTATTATGTTTGTGTACCTTGTAGTAGAATAAGTGTATGTGTAGTTGATATTTTTGGATTCTCGAGTTAAAACTTTCCAATCATGCATATTTAACTTATATCTCTCTCTCCGCGCGGCGTATGACGATGTTTAAACTTGTTCTCTGTGAGGTTTTGAACTTTCTGTTATAAACTTAAAACAGTTTTATTGAAACTGGTCTTGAAAAATGTTAGATGTGTCTGAATTTTAGTGTCTCGATCAAAGCCACTTACATTGGACTTTTTTCTTTGTATGTTGCAACTTTCACGTTTCTTTGTTACTTTTCTTGTAAAATGAATCAAATATTTATTTTAAAAATTCTGTAGAAGGAAGCCCTTGAAAAAAAGAGCACAGCAGAACTTTTGCAATTTGACCTTTTGTGTCCTTGTCCCTTTTGACCATTTGTGACCTTGTGTGATCGTAGCCACTTTCTGTTGGCTTTTCAGTTTGGGATTTCCCCTCCCGAATACTTGTTAGTTGTATGTAAGTCTTAAGTTTTTTGTTTTTGTAAAATTGTTGAAACTGTCACCCAATGTTGTTTTATTATTACTATAATAAAATTATCTTGTACAAAAGACAAATAATTTTAACCAACGGTGTAATCATTTAATGCGCCCAGCCTTCCTGAAACCTCCTGCAAAAGACTAAAAGTTTCCAATTCGGACAGCAGAGATTCGAAGCCAACCCCGAACACAGCGGGTCGATATTTTCAGACATGAACGCCGATGGCTAAGTGGCTAATTAAAACTGTGCAGTGTGTGCGCACGACGCACGCGTGTGTATGCACTGTTTGTGCTACACGGCGCGGCCGCGGATACAGCAAATAAAATCTGCCACCGCGAAAAAGATTTCAGTCAGCAAACGAGGGTGGGGTGGGAAAACGAATCTTTTTCCCAGACCGACCGAATGCCCGCTCCGAGCAAACAAGTCGTTTGGCTTGATCAAACATGAGGTTAATCCGCGGACATACAGCTATCAAACTACGGGCCGCAAATGTTTTCACACTGGCCGCCCTGGAAGCCTGGAACAGTCTGGAACAGCCTGGAACAGTCTGGAACAGCCTGGAAAAGCCTGGAACAGTCTGGAACAGCCTGGAAAAGCCTGGAAGCAAGAACACAACCCAGAGAGACCACTCCGACAGCGCAGGCGAGATACGCGAAACGCCCGAATGAAAAATTTACGTGACAGTTTATGCCCGCCGCTAATCCGGCGCGTAAATTTCTCATGAACGCGCGGCATGTTTCCCCATTCACCGTTTTTTCCGACACCGCGAGCAGTTCGATGAATGTCCCATCGGATTGCTGGTCTTCGGCCGGGCAAACCGCGGCAAACCGCGGCAAACCGCGGCAAACCGTCTCCAGGCGACCGGATCTGCATACCTACAGGTGGGAAGGGTGGGGGGGATTAACGACTCTTCGGCGACTTTTCTGACACGCCGCCGGCTTTCGCTTCTGAGCTGCCCTGATTCGCATTCCCAGAAGCCTCTCTTCGGTCGGTTGCTGGTAAAGGGGTTGAGGGTTGTGTTCTCTCGCTGCGGAGGTGGGGGCGGCGGGGCGGGGAGGGGGGAAGGAGAGTTAAACTATTTCAATATAAAAAGTGATACCCCCTCCGCTCGCCCCTCGACCGATCGCGCACACGAGAGTCGTCGATAGAGTTCTGTTGTTTCTCATGTCCGCTGTTCGTTCGGCTTCGGCTGGCAAATTCGGTCTTTATTGGGGCCGTCACGGAGACGAGGGAGCGGAGCAGGGCGGACATAAAAGGAGCGCATGCTGCGGAGCGACGGGACGTAGACCTCATATACGACCCAATTCCGAAGGCCAGTCCTAGACTTCGCATGCGGGGGTTTGGGGAGGACAACAATTAGCTTGTTTGGCCTGGAGCGAAACTTCACGCGGACACGACACCCGGCCTTCGCTGCCTTCGCTGCCTTCACTCGCACGCCACATCAGGATAACGAAAATAAGAAAAAGACGCGAGTGGTCACTGCGCCGGACGAACGGCCGCGCCGGCACATCTCCAGGATTGCCACCAGTGGAGGAGAGGGGCGGGGCGGGGACCCACTTTGTCCTGTTATGAGATGAAACTTTTACATCAGCCGAACAGATCATGCGGCGAGTAAGGAAGAGCTCCAGCGGACGGACGGACGGACGGGCAGACAGGCAGTCGGACAGACAGCCACGCCCTGGGATGCAATCCGCATAACATACAATCCATGGAAGAGGCTTCTTCTCGGCTGGCGAGGCGACTCGCACGCCCACGCCGCGCAGAGCCGCGCAGAGCAAGACGTATGTGCGGCTGCCAAGCGGCCCGTCGCCCTGCACGGTTAGACTTGGTCCTGGGCAATGATGCAACATTCCCGGAAAAATTTGACGGCAAAAAGTGGCAATACGAAAGTCTCAAGGAGACCCGCCGATCAGCTTCGGTGTTCTTATGGGAACCGGGCCTTCATCCGACGCTTCCCTACCGCGCAATTCGGTAGATTAGTGGAGTTCGTATTAGGCTGGCCCACCCGAAGTGCGCGCGGTTTCTGTGGTACAGTGAGAGTCCAGATTCAGAGGCCTTACCTCAGAGGGGTCACATTGGGTATTTGAACCCGCGACCCCGAGTGCCGAGTCTAGTCAACTCCTCTACCCTGACCGCTCAGCCACCGAACCAGCTTGTCAGCGGCGATGTCGCAACTCCTCTTGAGCTGCCGTTCGAGAAATCTGGTCCCGAAAAAAGGGTACTTTGAGCGGTCTCGAACCCGGGACCTGCCGCTTCCCGCTACATGCTCTTAACCACTGAGCCACCGGGACGCCATGGCAACCGCCCTGCCTGCGCTGGTACCCAATCTTCTCTGGATATACCTCCCCAAGCAATTGGTCGCCGAAAAAATTGTGCAGACTACCGGTCCCGAACCCGGGACCTGCCGCTTCCCACTACATGCTCTTAACCACTGAGCCACCGGGACGCCGCGACACTCGCCCTGCCTGCGCTGGTACTCAATCTACTCTAGATATACCTCCCCAAGCAATTGGTCGCCGAAAAAATTGTAAATTCTACCGGTCCCGAACCCGGGACTTGCCGTTTCCCACAACATGCTCTTTACCACTGAGCTACCGGAGGACCACGGTACCCGCACTGCCAGCGCTGGTACTCAATCCTCTCCGGAAAGACCTCCTCAAGAAGTCGGTTGCCGTTGCCGAAAAATGTGCTCATCGCAGTAGTCTCGAACCCGGTACCTGCCAGTCGGGAACGCAGCGCTATAACCACTGCGCCACCAGGTTGCTGTGCGCGCCGCTCTCCTAGCGCCGAACTTATAATTTGTCCAGCATCAAGCAAGATGGGTGGCTATTCAAGTTTGGCGCTAGGTGAGTGGAGTGCATAGCTACCTGGCGGCGCAGTGGTCAGAGTGCTCCGTTCCTGACTGGCAGGTCTCGGGTTCGAGACTACTGCGATGAGCAAATTTTTCGGCAACGGCAACCGACTTCTTGAGGAGGTCTTTCCGGAGAGGATTGAGTACCAGCGCTGGCAGTGCGGGTACCGTGGTCCTCCGGTAGCTCAGTGGTAAAGAGCATGTTGTGGGAAGCGGCAAGTCCCGGGTTCGGGACCGGTAGAATTTACAATTTTTTCGGCGACCAATTGCTTGGGGAGGTATATCTAGAGTAGATTGAGTACCAGCGCAGGCAGGGCGAGTGCCGTGGCGTCCCGGTGGCTCAGTGGTTAAGAGCATGTAGTGGGAAGCGGCAGGTCCCGGGTTCGGGACCGGTAGTCTGCACAATTTTTTCGGCGACCAATTGC